ATTTAGGTGACATCATGATGGATATATAATTAACTTTTCTTCTTCCACAGGCAGCGGGACAGGGTGTGCTCCGAGAACTCTAGCAGCCAATCGAGTAACAGCATCTCCAGTGTGAAGGCTGCACCTGGAATGTCCTCAAACACGGTCTACAAGGTCACGCAAAGTCATGATAAGGAGGCTGCAGCTGGCTCCCACCTGAGCCCTGAAAGAAGAGGACTGAGCGACCGATCGGGAGGACAGACCCCTACACCAGGAGGGCGGAGCTCTGCTAACGGGGGAATCAATTTCGCCCCAATTCCCGATCGCCCGCCACCGGCCTACGGTCAAGCGATGGGTATTGAGTGGAACAAACCCAACGCAGCAGATGTCTTACGGGCAAATATCGGTGGAACCTCTACCAAGTTTCAGGGTTTGGGGCTGTACGATCACAAACCAGATCTCTTCCCCTCCTCGATACCCTCCCCAGTCAATGACACCAAACCGCCGCCTAAGCAAAGGCTCCCCAGCGGGATGTTCACCAAACTTTCAGATTACCTCCTGTCATCCAACTCTAAAGACAGGGACGCCTACAACTTCCGGAGGACTCCGTCTCCTCACGGCTCACCCTGGGGAGGACCGGACCTTTCTCCAACTGAGCCGGAGAGTCAGCAGAGTCCACCGCCGCCGCTGTCTCCGGTCGGTATAATAAGCCGGAAGGACCAGAAACGAATGACGCTGGGCCACAGCAAGCTGGACCTGGTGAACCAATACAACAAGATGAAGCCCAAGCAAGTGTACAGCCGCTTTGAGCTCAAGGGCACGAATTAGACTGGAAGGCCAACCATCAGAGAGGTTGTGACTCCGGAACATTCCTCTGGTATCTTATATTATAAAGAAAAGACTCTGAGATCTTGGAAATTGCTCAAGTTTGGTCTTCAGACTTCAGCCCTACAGGAAACTAAGACTGTTGAGGAGCCATTTTGGCTCCGCGTGGTTTCCCGTTTATCAAACGAGAGGTTTTTGGCTTTTTTTGAGGTCATAGTTTACCAAACAAATCACACTTTTACTAAATCTGCACATCATGATTCAACTACAGTCACTACCTGAGTAAATATGATCTCATAGGTGAAATAAGTTTCAAAGATAAGCCACTGATTGTTTGCTGACACGTGAAAACCATCGAAATGTGAATTTTTCAGCACTCCAGAGGCTTTCATGTGGGCATTTCTTTACATTTTTATACTCTGCGACATTCCTGAGCAACAGTTTGAATTTTTCCTTTGGGTAAACGTAGGATTCTGCAGTTATTGTGCTTTTTTTAAAGAATATAATAATATTTGTAATAACAGGGCTGGAGAATTGTTTCCTCCACAGAGATTTTTCTCGCATTTAGTGAACGTTTATGCTACATTCAGATGGAAACTAACGTTTTTCTGACTGGATCCCAGCCTGGGGTCCAGTAGTAGCTCTCAATATGGTGACGGTTTAAAAAAAGATCACTGCTGAAATTCTGCAGATTAATACGATCACGTTGTTGGGGTTCACGTTGTGAACTTCCACAGTTCTTATTGGAGAAGTTTGAATCTGAGGTTATTTTTTGTTTCTGTAAACGAGTCATGCCATATACTACCACGAAGTAAAAAAATATTAAATTAGATAGAACATAAGATTTTTTATTATGGGAAAAAGTTAAGATGTAAAAATTAAAATCTCTCAAATATTCGGTTTGCACTGTTAAAGCGATGACAATGAGAATCTTTAAGAAGATTAAAGATAACATATCATTAGGGATGCAACGATACTAATTTTTTCAAACCGATACGATACCGATACTTGGATCTGAGTACTTGCCGATACAGAGTA